GTCTTGCTTGATGAAATTGGCAGTGACCAGCTCAAGCCAGAAACGTGCCTCCAGCCGATCACTCCCCCTTCCCTGCCCCCCCCACCTCCAACACTGAAGGTTACTTTTGCTTGAACTTCGCATAAATATGCAGGATGCATCCTTTTGTGTTCACCTTCTTTCTTTCCACCTTGCGTTTTTGAGATTCACCGTGTTTTCATGTGTTCAAGCTGTTCATTTTCACTGCTGAATACAATTGCACTGTATGAATTTGGCACAATTGTATGTGTCTCTTTAACTATCAACAGACGTTTGTGATGTTTTCAGTTCGGGCTTTTATGAATGAAGTCACCATGAACGTATTATACACGTCTCGAGGTGCACAGGTGCGTGCATTTCTGTTTGGTATGTATGGTATTGTTTTGCAAACTTTTGAAAAAGATTTTATTTATTTATTTATTTTCAGAGAGGGGGAAGGGAAGAAGAAAGAGAGGGAGAGAAACTCAGTGTGAGAGAGAAACATCTATTGGCTGCCTCTCACGCCTGACAGGGGACTTGGCTGGTGACCCAGGCAAGTGCCCTGACCTGGAATCGAACTTGTGACCTTTCCCTTTGCAGGACGATGCCCAACCCACTGAGCCACAGCAGTCAGGGCTGAAAACTTTTTACTCCACATTAGTTTTGTCAGTCACTCAAATGCCCGTCATTTATTCACTGAGGTTGATTCTGTGTCGTGCCTCCTGCAACAATATGATGCAGAGAAGGAAAAAATTACTTTTTTCCTTTTACTCTTCTAGATTCTCAGCGGGGTCCCGTAATAAAAGGCAGATTAAGAAGAAAAGCATGCATTCTTAATGAAAGTCCTATGCGGCAGGGACCTCGTAAGGACAGGGAGACTCGAAGCTACTCTGGGGAGTTTGTCCGCTGGGTGTGATGAGGAGCAGACACCATGGAAGACGGGATGGAAAGGGGTGCGAGCTGAGTGTTGTAAACCGGGGGACAGCGAGGCCCACTCCTTCCGATCCCTCTCCGCCCCCTCTGTTGTGGACGTGAGGTTGCTCCTTCCCTCCGGTGTAGAGAGGGCGCCCCTCGCACGAGGGTTCTGTGACCTGCTTCGGGGGAAGGTCAGAAAGTCCTCCTGGCACCTGCCGCTTCTTAAGTTCCTTCAGCTGGAAATATTCAGTGTTCCAAGGGGCCCTGTATGGAGGCAGTGTGTCCTGAACTCCACCAGTAGCTATAAATACTTTTAAACATGTCTCCTTGGGTTCACAGCTCGGAACCCGTGTACCTTTCTCTAAGATGTGCCTGGGCCCGACCGGCATGGCTCAGAGGGTTGGGTGCTGTCCTGCAAAATGAAAGGTCACCAGTTTGGCTCCCGGTCAGGGCGCACGCTGGGGTGACCGCCCGGTCCCTGGTTGGGGTGAGTGTTGGAGGCAGCCGATCCGTGCTTCTCTCCTTCCCTTCACCCCTCTCTCTAAAATTAAATGAAACAAAGAAAGACACACCTAGAGTAATGGGCCACGTGGATATTCACAGGGGCGTGCCCATTTGCACACATAGCAGTAGCAGATGAGCGTGCCTATCGTCCACACCCAGCAGCCTGGGCTCTGTCAGATCTTTCACCGTGCGTGACCCGCTGACGAGGACACGCCCTTTCCCGTGGCTGTGACATGCGTCTTCATCCCCTTTCTGTGAGGCAGAGCACCTTTTCTTGGTTGGGGCCACTCAGGTGGCCTCTTCTGCAAGCTGCGTGTCCCTGCCAACGTCTGTGCTTTGCTCTGACCCCCTTCAGCACAGCAATGAGTGCAGCGTCGGGAGGCGCCAGGTGCTGCTGCTTGGCTCCGTGTTCAGAATGTGCAGCCCAGGGGTGCGGAGAAACTGGGACCGTCACACACGGCTGGCGGGGACGTGGAATGGTGTGGCCCCCGTGGGAAGCAGTCTGGCAGCTCCTCGGGACGGGTAAACGAGGTGTTTCTGCAGACCCAGCAGTTCCACTCCCGGGTACACACTGGAGCAAAGTAAACTCAGACATCCTCGCGGAAGCAGAGACATGCCTGTGTGTGTCTGCAGCAGCACGGGGACAGTGGGAAATGGCCACAGGGAGTGGGAACCCACCCGCCGTTCCTTTCACGTGGTTTCGTTAACTGCAGACTCCGACTAACATGTAGCTTGCAGATCAACGGCGTGTTTGTACAAGAATCCTAGGAACTAACTCCAAAAGATACAGACCCCGACCTTCAGGCATCCCAGCTCCCGGAGATGTGCTGACCTTCAACAGTGGACACAGGGTGACGTGCAGCCGGATGACTAAACCCGGCCGACATGCACCGGACTGTCCCTGTCCTCATCGGAATGGGCCGGGCTCGTCTGTGTGCACGTGGAGAACTTCACAACCCCCTCCCTCCTTACAAACACCTCTATCTCCACTGAGGGGGGAGGTGGGCTCTGAGACCTGAGTCCCCCGTGTTCCAGGTGGCCGGCACCTGCAGGGGCAGGTGTCTGAAGGGAAGAGCGGGAATAGTTTATTATTATTAGAGCATCAAAGGTTCTCTTATCCTGGGCTTTGTGTAGCGACTCTCAGAGAAGGTGGGGGATTCAATGAAGTGTAATATCTTGTCAAGATAATAAACTTGTCAAGACACACTCCCACCTGCAGGGGCCGGGAGGGGGGTGGTTCAGACCAGAAGGAGTCGGGCGGGAGGATGGGATACCGGCCAGGTGGCAGCTTCTCGGCAGCAGAGCCTCTATCCCAGCCGAGGGTCCCAGCGAGGCAGCAGCGACCACCTGAACTGCCCCTTAGCCCAGTTATCCGAGAGGACGGCCACCGGCCACGCGGTGGCTGCAGATGTGGCTCGGTTTGCATTGTGATGAGCTGCGAGTATGAAGTGTGCCCGTGTTTTGAAGGTTTGGTATGAAATACGTGAATGCAAAGTATGTCATGAATGTTTCCATATTGATTACATGTCAAGGTGATAATATCTGGCATGTAATGGGCTAAAGACAATACATTAAAATGAATTTCACTTGTTTTTCTTTCTTTTACTTTTAAAAATGTGACTACTAGAATATTTCAAATACAAAATTACAGGTAAAATCACACACTTTCTAGTTCTGTAGGCTAGCAGTCTTTTGGACCAACTCCTCCTGCCTGGGTGAGTGAATGAAGGACAGATGGACAGAGGCTGGGATTCCTGAAGAGAAGGGCCCTGATTGCCAACTACAGCTGACCTTGAACTGGGGGGGGGGGGCTAGGGTGCCAACCCCCTTGCAATTGAAAATCCGTGTGTAACTTTTGACTCTTCCAAACTTAGTTACTGTTGACCAGAAGCTTTGCTGACAACATACCCAGGCAATTTAGCATGTATTACATGTACTGCATGTTATATGCTTTATAGTAAAGGAAGCTAGAGAACCGAAACTTATCGAGAAAGTCATAAGGAAAATACATGGACTGCATTTATTGGAAAAAAATCCCCCCACAAGTGGGCTGTGCAGTTTGAACGTGCGTCGGTCAGGGGTCAGCTGTACTGCCCTTCGTGGAACAAACTCAGTGTGCGGAACCGAGAGTTGACCGACTTAGCATTGGGGGGAAGGACTCCCAAGAGTGGGAAGAAAATGGAATGGGGATTATTTTCTTCAGGCCAGGCCGTGGGACCCTGGGGTGGTGGGAGGGTCTGGCTTGCCCCCGCTGTACCTGCTAAAAGGGAAAGGTGAAAAGACCCATTTAGAGAATGCCCCAGGACTCCCCTGCAGGGTTTCCCAAACAGGAACCCGAAAAAGATCTGAAATTTGCCCTCCAGAGGATGTCCCTGGAGAAAAGGAAGAAGTCATGGAGGGCCTTCTGGAAACATCTGTAGGGGAAGAGTGGGAAGAGAGGAAGGTGGATGCTGATAACAAGGGGGGAACTTCTCCAGCCTCCCTGTAGGTCTGCTCTGAGCCCCGTGTTTGACACCCTCACGTCCTGCTGGTCATCGTTTTGGTGTCTCGGCCCCAACGAGGCTGTGTCCTCGCCCGGCTACCCATCCAATCCAATTGTTCAGTAGGGATGTTAAAAAGATCGTATTTGATACCTTTCTTTCTAAACTTAATATTTTTACTAATACCTTAAAAAAATAGCCCTCCCCTCCCCCACCAGACCCTTACAGGTGCTCACAGCCGCTGCAGGACCCGCCTCTGCGCGTCCTACGCAGACGCGCCCGCAGCGGGGCGCCCCCAGCCGAGCCGGCTCGCAGGCGCCCGCGGTCAGCCGCCCCAGAGGCCCTCGGAGCGGAGTCGCTCCGGGCAGGGGCGGGTCTGTGTCTACGAGACCTTTCTCAGCGCTCGGCTGACGCAACGGCCACCCGCATTAGCCTTCCTTAGGGAGCATGACGGCGGTTCTTGTTTTCACCCTCTGGTTGAGAATGCCGAATGGCTTCTTCAAGTTAAAGCTTCTTTTTCTTTTCCTTCCGTGTGTTTCACAGAAAAAGCCGGAACGGAACCCCTGAAGCTGCGCGGGGGTCTCTTCCGGGACAGCCACAAGTTTCATCGCGCTCCTGGCCCTCTTTGCTTATTTGTTTCTAATATTTTCGGTATGTTGTGCAAACATTTCTTTCCGAGCGTGTTTGAAAAGCATCTCCCCCGCCCCGCGCTCCCTGCGAGCGCCTCCCACCCCCAAACCTCGGAACCCGTGGGAGCCACCGTGTTCCACGCTCGGAATCGGAGTGGCGGGGGCACGCGGGTGACACCGGGGCGCTTGGCTCCCCCCACCCCTGGCCTGTCCGGGCCGCGAGCGCCTCCAGTCAGGGCATTTCTGGGGGAAGAGAAAGGAACCGCCCGAACGGCCGAGAAAGTTTGCCCCGCTGCGGCGCCCCCGGAGCGGGGCTTGGCGGTGAGCTCCGAGTTGGTCAGAGGTCCGGAGCCTCCGGGAGGGGCGAGCCGGACGAGGTCCGGGACAGGCAGACACCTGTGGCCTCCGGCGAGGCGGGCGGTCCCCGAGCCTTGGCGCCTCCTTAAAGCCTCGGCTCCGCCCCGCCCTCCCCCGTCCCCAGCCGGCGGTTCCACCCAACCGCCGGGTCCCCGCCGCCCGGGCAGAGCGTCGCAGAGCCGCGAGCCCGTGAGGAGCGCGCCGCCCGCCCAGTCCCCGCGCCGGGTCCCGAGTTTCCGCGTCCCCGACCCGCCGCTATGGCCAGCGAGGAGCTGGCACGCAAGCTGCAGCGGAGACTGCAGCGGGGGCCAGCGCAGGAGGGCGACCCGGAGCCCGCGTCCGCCGCCGCTTGCGCGCTGGAGCCCGCGCCGGAGCCGGAGCTGCCCGCCGGCGCGCCCACCGCGAGCCCCGACGCGGAGCTGAGCGCCCAGCTGAGCAGACGGCTGGACATCAACGAGGGCGCGGCGCGGCCCCGCCGCTGCAAGGTCTTCAACCCCTACACGGAGTTCCCGGAGTTCAGCCGCGGCCTCATCAAGGACCTGGAGAGCATGTTCAAACTGTGAGCGCCGCCCTGCGCCGTGCGCCCCGAGTACCTTGCGCCCGGGACCTGGGAGGGAGAGAAGAGGGAGGTGGCAGTGGGTCGGTCTTTCGGGCCGGGGGTCCCACGCCCGGGTCTGGGGGAACAGGGCAGGGTAGTGCAAGGGTGCCGGGGGCGCCCTTGGCATTTGACGCAATGCTCCCGACCCTGCGCGTCCGGAGTCTATGGCAGCGCGCGTGGGGACCCGACCGTACTAGGGGCACCCGACAGAGCAGGACTCGCAGACCCAGCTCGGCAGTCCCCTGGGGCAGCCGAGCCCGAGTCCGGGGTCCTGCGTTCCCGGGCTCCCGGGCGGCCACCGCGGCTCCCGCCCCCTCCTCGGGCTGGTTCCGAGATTTGCTCAGAGCACAACTTCTAGGAAACCGAGACGCGCCGCGCCGCGCCGCACCTGCCAGCTTTTACCTCCCCAGGGAGAAATTAGCCCCGTTGTCCTTTATCTTTTAAAATAAAAGGGGAAAGTTATCCTTGGCTGTCCCTCGGGGTCCGATGGACCAACAGAGGCTGAGAACTGGGAGTTGGTTAAATTCTTTGCGGAAGATCAGGACGTTCCTGGATCGAGCGGGTCCCGGGAGCCTTCCAGGGCGTCGCCTTGTCTGTTGGCGCGCGTCGGAACCAGATTGGGCCGCTGGCAGCCGGTCCCTTGGGGGCTCATTCCTGCCCAGCTGAGTAGGCCCCACCAGGCGGGAAGTCCGTGTAGAGAGCCCCCACTAGTCCGGCCTTGGAGACTGGGGGCCCCTGGGGCTTCTGTTTCCTCATCTGAAGAGTGGGAACAGTAGTCGTTCCTGCCTTTCAAGGCCACACATTATTTTGCACACCGTAAGCTCCTAACCAAGCTATTAATATTATTTCCAGAATATAGCTGAGACCAAAAAAATGCCTGGGGGAGCAGAGGCTGCCGGCCAGGTCATGCTTGGGGCATTTTAAAAAGTGCTTGGAATGTTTGTCCTCGGCATGAAGGTTCTATTTAAGGGTGCTGTGTGGCGGGCGCTCTGTGCCAGGGCCTCAGCCCCTGCTTGGGGCTGGGCTGTTGTCCAGACCAGCCACTGTGGGGAGGTCAGCAGAGACTGGCACCCGGAGGCCACCATGCCTCCCCCACTCCCCTGACACTCCGACTTCCCAGTCCCTGGCTTCTAGGCACTGTCCTCTGGTGCTCACACCTGGCGGCGGAGGGGGGGCTAGTTTGGGCCATTAAGGGAGGCTGAGTTGGGGCACAAGGGTGCAGGCGACTGGGGCAGAGGTGGGAGAACAATGGGGTGGGTGGTCTGTCACAGCCCCTTGGATTTGTTTGGGATTGCACCTTCCCTGGGAGGACCAGCAGGTCCCCCGTCCAGCTGAATTTGGGGACGACATCTGGGGACCTTCAGGTTGCTTTGCAGTGCTTTGGGTTTCATTTATTTATTCGTATTACTGTGTTTTTCTTCCTGCAGAAAGGTCTTTGAGAGGATTATTTGTTAGTTGGCTACCTAAGAGTAACAAAGGGAATCCCCACAGTACTGAGGAATTGGGGTCAGGTATGGCTGGATCTAGGTGCTCAGATGATGCCAGCTGTACTTAGTTTCTCTTTTTCTTAAGCCAACTACCTCTTTTTCTGTCCATGTCCAAGACCACCCCCCAATTCTGCCACACCCCTAAGCTTGCAAACACTCAGCATCCTTTAATTGAGCTCGTCGGTTTTCCCTGCTGGTGTTTCTCCCAGTTTCCCACACCTGGGAGGCGGCCGAAACCCCGCCTTCCCCACCCAACCAGTGTTGGGGGCTCCTCTGGCTGGGAGATGTTGTCACTTGGATGCCTCTAGTTTTAATTTTCATCCACCCTCAGTGCCAGGATCATGGCAGTGGCTCTAGTGGAAGGACACACCCCTTGTCTTATGCTGCAGGCAAATCCCCAAATGCCAAGCTCCACAGCATTCTTCCCAGGTGGGAGGGGGCCTGCAGCCTGCCCCAGCCCCGGCAAGGGCAGCATGGTTCAGGCCGCCCCTCTGGGCCAACAGGCTGAGGCAGAGAAGGTCCAGAAGATACCAGAGCTGGCTGGCCACTCAGAGGGGCCTCGAGGGGGCAGGAAATCAGGGGGTGGCAGCGGGTGCAGCTCTGACCGCTGCTCTGACCTACTGATCACAGGCATGTCAGGGCTCTGGGCTCTGCCTTGATAGGCACGTGGTCACGTGGTCACTAGTCATCCTCACCCACTGTGACTTCATCTTAACTTATTCCCTGCAAGGACTCAGTGAAGGTCACATTTGGAGGAGGTTCTGGGTGGCCATGAATTTTGGGGAACCCTGTTCAACCCATCCTGGGGGTGAGCAGAGATGCCTAGACTTTGGGGCATCACGACTGTCTCCTCTCCCCCTCTGGGGGGGTTAGGGGCAGGTCCTTCCAAGGAGGCTCTTGGAAGGCTGTCAGATTTAGAGATGTCAGACTGAGAGAGAGGGAAGGGAGGGAGAGAGAGGAACATCAGTGTGTGGTTGCCTTCTACACACACTCCCTACTGGGGACCTGGCCTGAAACCCAAGGATGTGCCCCAGCTGAAAATTGAACCCAAGACTCTTGGGTTTGCAGGCCAGGGCTCAATCCACTGAGCCACACCAGCCAGGGCAGGAACATCAGACTCTTAACCAGTGTAGGTTATCTAAGTGAGTTAGGCACATCAGAGACCTAACCAAAGCCAGAAGGGTCCCACCCCCAACAGAAGGGGCATCGGGCTTTCCAAAGCCCAATCCCAACTCAGATGGAGTCACCATCTAAGTACAAGGACAAAGCCAGGCTCGCAGATCCCCCACCCCCACTGGTGCCCACGGTGCAATTACTTTCAGCAAGAATTTCACTTTTACTCAGTTTCTAGATCCAGATTCTGATGTCGCCTCGGAGTTCGCTTAGAACCTGACTTGACCGGCATGGAGCGTGCTCACTCTTTCGTTTGGGGCCAGATGGATTTGGGCAGATACTGCCAGACGTGCTTTGATCTCGAAATGTGATTTCTCGTATTGAAAAGGATTTTGCCTGGGGATTTCTTACATTTTCAAGATTAAAAAAAAACACCCCAAACCTGGATCCTTCCCAGACTGTGAGCACGTTCGGTCTGGGGGTGGGGGAGGTCCTTGGCTTTGTATCCTGGCTCCTCAATGGCGAGTTGTAGGAGAGAGAATTTTCTAATGAGTGTGGGAAGCCGGAGGCCACGACAGCCCCGCCAGAGAAAGTTCCCTCTCCGTGTCCAAGTGTGTTACTGGATAGCCTGCGCCAACAGAATAGTGGCCTGATTTTCAGCGCAGGGTGAGAAGGCCCAGCAGAAACTGACTCTGCGGTGCGTGTCCAGAGCTGTAATGCGAGCTGGCAGAGTGGTCAAGGTTAGGCAGGAATTTCAATTACCCCGGAGCTTATCCAGGGGCCTCTTTCAAAGGGGGAGGTAATGAGGGCAGCCACTTCAGGGCAGGACCCAAACGCAAAGTCTCAAAACGCAGCTGTGATGTGTTTGCAGCATTTTAAAAGCGTCCGTTTCAATTCCCCAAAGAGAGGGTGGGGAGAGGAAAGCTGGGCGGCGGGAAAGCTGTCTTTTTTATGAAGAATCCGAAGCGATGATGTCATGGAGCCCTGCCAACACCCCACAGCCACGTCACCAGGGAACCCCAGAAAGACGAGGTTGTCCTGGAGCTCTTCACTTCTCGTCTCTGTCCTCCTCCCAGTCCCCTCCGGTTTCTTTTTCTCCTCCCCAGGCTGCTCTCTGAGGGTGGAAAAAAGGGGCTGAGAAATCTGCTAAAGATGGGCTGGAAGGGAGGTGCCCGCCCATTCTCACTAGTATCTCTTGAGTGAATTGACTTTAAACGGGGGAAAGGAGACACAAATAGAAGTTGTGCTTTTTCCTCCAGTCTGTGGGGGTCGCCTTAGACCTGAAATTCCCTCACCTCCCTCGCCTGCGCTGCAGCTGCACACTGGGCTGTTCTGGACCGAGGGTGGGACAAGGGGCCCTGGGGCCTGTCCGATGCCCTCGGGGTGCCCCAGCAGGACCCAGGCTGGCGCGGTCTCTGGCAGGAAGGCGGCGTGACTTGGAACTCTCTTCACCCGGTGGCAGCACTGGTCGTTTCTCTTTGCCAGCAGGTGTGGTGCCCGCCATGTGGGAGGAGCTCATGAGGTTGGCAGAGCCTGGCGCTTTTTTAATAAAAAAGATTTTATTTTTTTACTTTTTTAGAGAGAGGGGAAGGGAGAGGGTAAGAGTGGGAGAGAAACATTGATTGGTTGCTTCTCACAAGCCCCCAACTGGGGAACCTAGGCTGCAACCCAGGTATGTGCCCGGACTGGGAATGGAACCGTTGACCTTTCGGTTTGCAGGTTGGCACTCAGGCCACTGAGCCAGACCCGCCAGGGCGAGCCTGGCACTTTTATCTTTGCAGGAGTTTTCTCCTTCCTCATCTCTCTCTCTCTCTCTCAGAAGTCTCCTCCACCCTCCTTGTTACAGAGCCATCTCATTCTGTGAGAATCTGAAATCAAATTATTAAAGCCTTCCATTATGTTAAAAAAGAAAGTCCTTTACCCCTTCTTCCTTAACAAGTGCCTGGTTTCAAGGCTGTGTGGGCCAGGGGACTCTAACTGCGCTTACATTCTGGGGCCTGTGGTTCCCCCCAGCCCCCGCCCCAGTCTAATGAGGAAAGAGCTATACCTTCCCCACTGAACTTGGGAGGGTCTGGTGCATGAGCCGGTGGGTCTGTGAAGACCTGCCAAATGCATCAGGTCTTGGGAGCTGGCGATTGCCAGGCCGGTCTGACTCAGGGAAGAGATGCTGGGGTTAGGAGCACACCCCCTAGGCTTTGCACACGCTGGCTCTCCCGCCCTGTCTCGTGCTTGTGCACGGCGTGCACCCTTGCACTGGTGCCTGCAGGCCTGCTGACACCATGTGCTCTCTCATACGTGTGTCACACACTCCCAGGTGCTTGGCCCGCACCACAGCTTGCAGTCCTCCTGGGAGAAGCTTCT